CATGCCAAGGCAGCGCGTGAGCAGATTTTCGAAGCAAGACAGACACACTGCCTTCTTGAAATCCAGGACTTCTGTTTTGCTGACTAATTTCCCAGTCTTATGGTGAACGGTGAACCTAACCAGGTCGTGATCACTATCTCCTAGAGTACCACCAATCCTTAGGTCACTTACGATGTCCTCTCCTTTGGCCAGCACTAAATCCAGAGTAGCCTTACCCCTAGTAGGCCCTTCTACTACCTGCATCACAAACAGGTCGTCTATTGTTCCCATCTTCCCAACAGATGTCAGGGTAGTTGAAGTCACCCATGACAATCATGTCTCTAGTGCTAGCTGCCTCAGTCAGTTCTCTGGAGAATACCTGATCACTCTCCTTCTTGGGAGGCAGGCCTGTAGTAGACTCCCACCAACAGGTCTCCTTCTCCTGGTCCCCCTTGTATCCTGACTCAGAGGGTCTCAAGGGACCCTTCCCAGCTGCCAAACATGACCTGCAGGGAGGGGTACCACTCTTTTACATATAGGGCCACACCTCCTCCCTTCTTCCCAACTCAATCCTTCCTGCAGAGCCTATAGCCCTCAATATTCACTGCCTAGTCATGTGTGTCATCCCACCAAGTCTCCGTCAACCTAATCAAATCAAAATTCTCATCAGACAGGATTGCCAGTTCCTCCTCTTTGTTCTCCATGCTTCTGGCATTTCCAAAGAGACACCTAAGTTCTCCCCTAGCCACCTCAGGTTTACTGTCATGCCAGTTGTGACTCAGGATGTCAGTACATGTCTGATTGTCCATTGCTTGAATGCCTTCCCCTGCATCCTTGTGGCTTCAAGTCCAGCAGTGAAACCTTCTCCCTGGCCCCCAAGACGTGCCTAGTTTAAAGCTCTCCTCAACAAGTCCATGACTCTCATAGCGAAGAACTTCTTCCCTTCCCTCTTTATATGCAACATGGAACTGGATTAGCATTTCCATGGGATTGCTGTTTTCATGATTATACTGTCTAGTGCAGTTTCCTCTACTGCTCTTACAAGACATTTCTCTCCCAGTAAAATAATATTTCCTCCTTATGTTATTGACAGTTACTATTTCTGACAAAGACAGTATGCATACATAAATTCCAGCTGCCTGAAGGCAGAATGATATACCATTAATTCAATATTTACCCAGTGCATGCGACATATGCCAGAAAAATACTACTTTAAAGCCAGGTACAGGCATTACAATTTTACTGGTATAAGTGATCAGAAACTGGTCTACACCCATAACAGAATAGAAGTTCAGTGCACACACTGGTTTAAAAATGGAGGAACCTGATTTAATATTTGCCCTCCCCCAACAAAGTGCAAATGTGTGGTGTTTGCTACTGATCTAAACTATGCCACTTAAAGAAAACCACCTAACTTAGATTGATTCTACCTTGGGCTTTTTGAGTGTCTATATCTAGCCTACCTATTTTCTTTGTACCACCGCTATGAAGGGTTTCATAGACATTAGAGCTGGAAGGAACCTTGCGAGATCATCGGGTACAGCCCCAAAGAGACACTAACGCCTTCTATATGTGCTAAAACACTAGCACTGATGCAAGACAGGCCCCTGTCCCTGACACACTGAAAATAACATTTAATAACATAGTTATAAAATCTGTCATTCCTGTTGCCCAAAGAGGAACCAGTCTCCACACTTAAAATGCTAATATTAAACCAGGTTCCTCCATTTATCACAAGCTATCATGAACCACTGCTCTTAGCTTCAATCTCTCAGAACTAAAGAAATTTTCACTGTTGAATGAGAAGGGGAGTAGGTGGTGGTGGGTAGAGAAGAAAGGTAGGATTGTAACTCTATGATTTCCTGATAGGATTGTTTATCCAGGAAGGTCTGTGTTAAATGAGGCATTTGGCTTTCAGTGCAGTCTATTCTTCCTGTACCCAAAGTAACTCAGGACTGAGGTAAGGTTAAGCCACTGAGACTGGAAAACAGAAGCCTCCTGCACAAACTAGCATGCTCATAAATTTGTTGCTGTTATATAGAATAAGGTACATGGAGTAAAACTATTATTCATAGACACATAATGACAGAAAATTGTCTTCAAGTAGTTGTTTAGACCAGGCGTGTCAAAGACATGGCCCATGGGATAGATCTGGTCTGCAGAGCTCCATCATCCAGTCCGCAGTGCTGCCTCTGGGTCTCAAGGTTACCCACATGCTGCATGCAGTGCATGCTGGGCCAGCCTGAAATGACAGCCCTGGGACACAAGTCACATGTGGCACCTGCCCCAGTAGTTCTAGGACCCATGCCATATGTGACACCTGTTCTACGAGCTGGTTTGTTCCCATCTGCCTGGTGGATCCAGTGCCCACAGCTCCTGCTCCAGCACTGCATGCAGTGCACATCCCGGGGTGAGCACCACACATGGTGCCCACTCCAGCTAGTCCGAGATACATGCTGCTGGTCACGGGTGCGCACTGCATGTGGTGCAGTTCCAGAATGGCCAGAATAGATGTTGCGGATGCTTGGTCTGGCATGTTAGGTGTGAGAGGGGAAGGCTATCCCTGTATCAGTCATCCAGCCCGTGGACCAGTCCCACACCACTCATCCAGTCCATGAAACCAGATGATTTTTTTTAGGCTGTCTTGTTTTCTTATGTGCTGCCCTTCACAATTTGGCTCCAAGAGAAGCATCTAGGTGTCCCTGTTACAGAAACAACAAGCAGCAGCAGCTTGAATCAGAACTTCCATTTTTTGCACAAGCAAAACTCCCAGTGCTATCCATCGGTGTTCTACGAGGATACAGGATCCAGCCCCTTATGTACTAATTTGGTACATAATGTAACAAAGATACACATTCCACATGTATATTAAGGATTTGATGCATTTCAGACTCAACATCACATGAAGGTGCTGAGATTGAAAAAATCCAAATATCTCCCCTATCACCAAAATACGATACACTGAGTTATGTAGTCACTCTTGCAAATAGCAAATAGGAGCGGCACAAGAGCTGTACACACAGCAGTGTGGTGCTGCTGCATCTGAGGGCAAAAGCAGAGCACTTACATCAGGGGCAGGCAATTATTTTGGGCAGAGGGCCGCTTACCCAGTTTTGGCAAGCTGTCAAGGGCCACACAGGTAGCCCTGTCCCTTGACAGATGTCCCGCCCCCTGGTCACCATCTTGGGACCAATGTCCCAATCAATGTCTTGGAACCAATGTCCCAGGGCCAGCGCTGATGGGGCCCAGAGCAAGCTGGCAGGGGTCGGTGGAGCCCGGTTGGGCTGCACCAGCAGGGAGAAGGGGGAGCTGGCCCGGCTCCATAAAGCCCCTGCCACCCAGGATCCCTGTACTCCTGTCACCCTGCTCTGGACCCTGCTGGTGCAGGCCCTGTGCTCCTGCTGGCTGCCCACCCACTCACTCCCAGTGCCCCCCAGTCCCATGGTACAGGCAGGGGGCAGTGTGCAGCCCCAACCCCCAGCTTCTTTCCTGCCGGTGAGCAGGTGCTGAGCACGGGGAAAAGCAGCCCCTTCCCCACCCCATGCCCAGAGCTCCCTGCTGCAGCTGCTTGTAACCCGCGCGGGGCCATTGTGAGCAGGCACAGGCAGCCCCACACAGGCTGTGAGCAGCTGCAGCACGGGGCACCAGGCATGGGGTGGGGGAGGGGCTGCTTTTCCCCATGCTCCACACCAGCTTATAACCCACCCCCGCAGCCAGGGCTGCACCGCAATGGGAGCAGCTGCTCGGCGGGGAAGAAAGTAGTACCCCCGCTTGCCACACTAGCCAGTGTTTGCTGCTGTTGCCTGCTCAGAGCTCGCACCCCACGTGGGGCTGCCTGTGCCTGCTCATGACAGCCCTGCGCGGGCAGCGACTGGCTGCAGCAGGGAGCACCGGCCACGGGGAGGGGGAGGGGGCGCTTTTCCCCATGCTCAGCTTTTCCTGGGGATCCTCCCCTACCATTCTCCCCCTTACCTGAGGTTCCCCTCACAGGGCAGCCATGTGGTCCCAGGCCAGAAGACCCTGCTGGGGCTTCCACCTGGGAGGGCAGGGCCAGGCAGGGTCTGCTGTTGCAGGAGCCCACCAGGGCTTCCCCTGGGTCCTACTGCCCCTGCATCCTGTCATTTTTGACTGGAACCAAGGGCAGATCAATATTAATTTTCTAAATTTTTTAGGGGCCCTGCAGGCCGAACAGAATGGCCTCGCAGGCCGGATGCAGCCCGCAAGCCATATTTTGCCTGTCCCTGGCTTGCATACTATAACTGGAAATATCTGAAAGTCACAAACAACTGAGCCCCTGCTATTTCCCCATGTAAAATGATTTCCCTTTCCCTACAAATTTCACCCTAACAAATGTTAGGTCAGGAGTGGAGTGGGAGATAAATATAGACCATGTGATATGATCTAAGACTTGGAGGAAAGGGAGGGTAGAGAAAAACCCAAAGAATTTGCTGTCTCTCAATCACTGGGTATGATCAGACCCACAACAAGCTTATGACAACTAGCCATTCACACTTGCTAAAAAAGATGAAGGAAATAAGCATCAGAACACTTGTCCTAAAGTATTTCAAAGACAATACTGGACTTGTGTGGAAATAGAGAAAAGGATTTGCAAAATATTTCCATACTGGCTGTAATCATGCAAGGTAATATTTTTGTTGACATATGTGAGTGCATTACGATTGCTTCTGTGCCAGCCTCAATAATTCCCTTCTGCAAGAGCACACTAACATTAGAAAACAACATTATCAAAACATGAGGACATGACAGTAACCTCTCAATTGCTCTCAAGTGTGTCATCCATTCACAGCACATGCTGTGCCACGAGGTCCTTACTGCATACATTTATGTCACAGAGGTCCTTACTGCAGCTCAGAAAACAGCATGTAGTTCATACTCAGAAGCACTGACATCAAACTTCAGTATGTTGTTTGTGTCTTGTTCAAACAGCATGATGCTTGAGTCAATCTTTACTGACTGATGGAAGAACATGTATGAAAAGGAACATTTAGTTTGGTGATTACCTGTTGATGATGCAAAAGTGTGCGCAGAACTAAAAGGCTCATCACTGGACTCAGCACTGTGTTGTGGCAGAAAATTGTCAGCGAGGTCATACGCGGATGGTAGGTCCACTATGCTGTTTTCTTCAGACAGGTGGTTTAATGATGTATCAATTCCTTCCATGTTTTCACTGCTGTGAAAACACAAATATTACTAAGTTCCAAATGCATTTCTGTAGTGTAAACATCCAAACAAAAGCAAGTCCAGAAGATCTGATGGCCCAATGCTGTGTCACAGTCTTAGTGATCAAACAGAAATTATTTCAGCATTTAGTTATTGATTGATTTAAACAAGGACGAGTCTATGAAGAGAAAAGGGTAATAAGAAAAAAGAAGACTTCACATATCACAGCCCAGGGAATTACTTTGGAAGGCTCAACATCAAGTCTGACATACTTAAAGGCTTCCTAAAACATGCACTCAAACCAAATCCAGGATAGCACTTAGGTCCATGTCAAACAATAAGTATATGAGTACTAGGATAAAACTACATCCATGGTTAAAATGAAGCCCATTCTTGGAGTCCTCTCTTTAGACTGAGGTCTCAAGTAATAGCTGTGTCAACGAACCCCCTCACTCTACTAGCATAGTTAAATGAAGCACTATTATGTTCACTAGTGGAAGAAAAAAAACATTGTAAAAACTGATGCCCATGCAGGGCAGAGGATATTAACAACCCCAGGTTCACATCAAATCATTAGGAATGAACAAGAACAAAATGTTTCCTATGGGTTGCTGCATCTAATTCATAGAAACACAGAGCTACAAGGAGCCTCCTGGGCCATCAAGTCCAGTCCCCTGCATTCGCAAGCAGCCATTTACTGAAGGAATCTCCACAAATTACCACTTCCAACTGACCCAAAACTACAAGCCATTATGTCTGTATTATCAGCTTTTCAAGTAGGGCTACCAGCTGCGCACCCTGTTCAGGAAGAGGGATCAGACAGCTCTGCTCCATCATGACTGGGCCTTTAGTTGACTCAGCAGCCACTGTCAATTGCTCCAGCCTTGGTAAGAGAGCAGAGCAGCTTCACTCTGGCACAATTGGCCCTCAGATGGCAGGAATGCAGGAGGAACTGAAGTGGGGGAGGAAAGAGTAACCACAGCACAACACCTTCCTAGATGGGAAAGACTGCAGTGACAATCCTCATATCCAGGTGGTACCAACATTAGCTGACTTACAACTTGGAGATGAGCTATAATTAGACCCAAAAGACATTATCACAATGGAAAAAAGCTATTGAGTAGATTCAGTAAAGTCCCAAGGAGTCTCCAGCATTCCCTGAAGACTAATTATTCCATCACAAGAAGCCTCAAATTACAGCTCTCGGTCTTGGACTAATGGGAACATACACAAACGCCTTGGGGGCTCCATCACCTCTTCTTTATTCATTGCTCCTAAGAAGAATCAAGCACTTCTTTCTCCTTTTCATACCCCTGGAGCAGCAAACCTAATGGCAAATGGCACTGGTGAACAGACACAAGGAATTTAGGAGACAGAAGAACCTAAGTACTCCTAAAAGAGTGAAGAGCGATGCTTTTAAATGAAGGTTGAATCAGCAATTACAATTAAAACTTAGGAGCTCTGATTTAATTTTCTCCTGTGTGGCCTTGGGAAAATGACTTATGGCATGTACATGCTGTGTAGTGCTATGCAGATAAACCCAGGTCAGTTCTAAACAATACCCTTCTCAGCAAGGTAAATTAGCTAATGTGGAATTCCATGCTACCACAGCTAGCCTTTTGCCAATATCTAAGCTAGTTTGTTTACAGCTAGCTTGGATATCTTTGCACTGTCCTGAACTTTACAGTATAGATCAGTGCTTCTCAACTGGGTTGCAGCAAGACTCTTTAAGGATTCTGTGACACCAGCACCAGAGCCACTGCCACTACAGCCAAGTGAAAATGCCCCACACACAGGGTAACACCACGTCCTAGTTTGGCTGGGATAGTCCCAGATTTCATAAGCCATCCCAGTGTCCCAGCCGGTTGGTGAAAACTGAAACAAGAGTCCTGGGATCAGTGCCATAGGTGGACTTGTATTTTGGCATGTGCCCCCTCCACCCAAATCAGCAGTGCTACTGCAGACAGAGGTAGGCTGGCAGAAGCATGAGGCACAGTCAGAGAATCATAATCATAGAATCACAGGGCTGGAAGGGACCCCGAAAGATCATCGGGTCCAGGAAGGAGGCAGAGCGGCATGGCGTGCTAGGCAGGCAGACACCTGCATGTGCCTGGCCCGGCTCCTCCTGTACAGCAGCTAGAGGTGGGGGGCGAACTGGGCTGGGCTGGGCACTGCTCCAGTCCACCCGCTTTGCTCCCACACAGCAGCAGCAGTGCCTGCCTGGTGCACCATGCCTCTCTGCCTTCACTGTGTTCCAGATTTCCTTAAAAATCATATGGTCACCATACCCGTGCACCTCCATTTCTAGCAGCTGCTACAGAACCAGGCACTCCTGCCTGCATTAGATTTATCAGAGAAACTCAATACAAACAGAAGTACCACCCCCCCCGCTTCCTGGTCCAGCTCTGCACACACCTTCTGGATCCCTCTCCTCTAGCTCTAGGTTTACTGCGGATCTGGAATGAGTTCCCTGTACCCATGCACTAAATGAGGTGTCAGCCTTGTCCTGCAGTGGTGATCAGACTTTTTTGCTTGCATATTGGGAACTGTCAAAGGCAGTTGCTATGTCCAGATGCTGGGCTGCCCCCTATTTGTGGTTTGGGATGCTTCCTTTGAAGTGGTATCAGCTTCTCCATCTCATTTCAGATCTCAGGGCTGTTGTTGTCAATTCTTTTTAGTTTCCCCCTTCTTTTATTGTATCTGTGACAACAAATGGACCTAGGATAAGGTTCTAAACATGATGTGAAAGTGTATGATGGTCAAACACATGATGTACCAGGCACAAATAAAAACCTGCATCCAGGCTCCTGTACCACTGCTGCCACCAGTTCGCACCATCCCACACAAGGTACATGCTGGGCTGGAGCTGGAAAAGGTTCTGACAGGAGAGGGCACTCCTGCCTGCATTGGGTGTATTAGATAAAGTAGGTAAGCTGAGGCAATACAACAGTGGTCTTTAACCGTGAGGTCACAGATTCAAAGAAGTTGTGGAGGGGTACCGTGAGTGGGTAGGCCTTCCTTTTCCTAACTGCTGTTGAGACTCAATTTTAAATGCAAGATCATTGTGTTATAAAAACAAATGGATTTTCAAGACTTGAATAGGATCGACTAGCATTGCACTTAGATACCTAACAGGTAGAAGTGAATCTCTTTCTTAGTCCCTCTGTGACTCATTTCCCTTCTATTCAGAATGAAAGAAGAAGTACTTCCACACCTTATAGGGATACTTTGAGGATAAATTAATCAAAAACTATGAGAAACAAGAGCAAGAAAGGCCAGTTAATTAACTTAGATGTACGTCTTTCTGGAAGAAAATCCATCCAATACCTCTGCCTTTCGACACAGAACAAACATTGAATCAAGCTTTGCAGAATGCTGCTGAACCTGTCCTCTGTTACACCTGCTAATGAACTGATGATATTGGCTCTAACATTGTAGCAGATCAGTTTCCTTGTCCCAATGAGACAGGCAGGCAAGGTCACTTCACGCACAATTTTTTTTCCATTAAACAAAGTGTGAAAGCAGTAAGTATTAAAAGATGTTTTCTCCTTCACTGCTTTCTCCTCAACATACTACAGTTTGTTAGGATAGTAAAGACAAGGGGAAAAGCTTCCTTTAAATATCAGCATCCTCCTTTTGCACTGCTTGTGTTACATATATCTACTATTTTTACAATGCTAATATTTGTATTTCTATCCTGCTAAAAAGCCACTTTAGGCCTCAGTTGTCCACAGGTTTGGGCCCATGTTTGAGCCCCACTCAATCAGAGAGACTACTTGCAGGACAAAGTTAAGTATGTTAAATAAGTTTTTTGTGGAATTAGGGCCTCCATTTGGGGTTCTGACTTTGAAAGTCCTTGGCCCTGATTTTTGGAACTGCTGAGCACCCATAGTTTCATTTGAAGCCAGCACCTCCAGATACTCAGGACCTTTAAAAATTAGGCCTAACGTATTTCAAGATGCATAAGCCAAAACCTAAGAATCTGGGCCTTCAGTTTTCTCAAGTGTACAGAAGGGATGCACTATTTCACTGGCACTGTACCTGTGAAGAGATCACCAACCATGCCCTGGGACAGTGGCCAGAAGCAAACTGGTCATCAAGGTTTGTGGTCAACCTTTGTCATACAGCCTTCCCTTCTGAGAAATCTGTACGTTTCATCTTGCTGGAATGAAATAAACAGGCCGATTAGATATTCTGCATCTGCTGACCATGCTACCAAAACAGTATGACCTTTCAAACTAGGTATGTTACTTCAAGTAAACAGTTGACACATACGTCACTGTTTATCGAGCATGGGATAGGGGAGAATCTTTTTTAGGAAACAGAAATAGCACATTCCTTGAATCTTTTTTACAGTGATGAAGGCCTCATGGATAAGATAGCATGCTTTCCCATAAAAGCTCTTATTTGCATTACTAAGTGCAAAGTGTGCTCTCATTTATTCCAAAATGTTGAAGCAGATGCCATCCTTTCCTAGCTCTACATGCTCTCGTGAAACAACCTACACCCTTGTGAGAATATGGTTTTCCCATATGATACCTACTTAATTATGGTCTGATGCAGCCATGTTAAAACTAACAGGGTGTAATAACAGCTGTCCATGCTGAGGCAAAACTTTTCCAGGAAATATATTCTAGGGAGACAGTATTAAAGTCACTGTGTTATTTTAGGCAAGTCACTAGTAATCATTTTCAAGACTGACCACTTACTTACTGTGTCTCAGGTTTTCGCATATGCAGCTTGAAATACCATAGGTCTCATTTTTAAAGGTCCTGAGCATCTGGAGGTGCTGATTTCAAATGAAACTATGGGCACTCAGGAATTCCAAAAATCAGGGCCAAGGACTTTTAAAATCAGGACCCCAAAACAGATGCATCCAAACATGCTTTTGAAAATTCTGGCCTTCACTTCTTTGAGATTCAAACTTCTTCTAAAAAAAGGGGGAACAAAAAGGCCTGCCTGTTTTTGCAAAGCCCCTTCAGATCCTCCAATGTGAGATGCTACGCAAGACACATATTATTATTCACCTGGGGATGCAGACCAATTGGAGACGAAACTTTTTTAACCTAAGACCACCCCAGTATGATGAAACACTGACTAAAACAAATTCTCCATCTATTGTTGCTACGCATAATTTGCAAACACCCCAAAAAACATGAAAAGCAAACAAAAACAGCCTTTTCAGGCAGGACTGATGATGCTGAATTGCTCAGCTTGAAATGCTGTTTAGGAGTCAGATTGTTAAACACATGCTTCATCTCCTATAAGTATGGACCTACCGAATTTATGGCAAAAACGGGGTGTGCTGCAGCTCCTTTAATTTTCCACGTTCCCCCGCATGTCCCTCCACCCTGATTGGTGGAGGAGCCACATTTGTAGTTCACTTTTTGATCAGTGGGAAGGCGAGAACAGCAATTTTAAATATAGCGCTGTTTTTGCCTCCCGCTGACAACTGGCTGAGGGGCCCCAGCAGTCCCAATGCTTGTGCTGACGGGAAGGGGGGCAAAAAACATGTCATGCTTAAAAACTGTGGTTTTTGCTTCCCTGCTGATCAGGAGAAAGTGGTGGAGCCCCTCTGCCAATCAACAGCAGGGTAGAGGAGCACATGGGAGAACAAGAAAGATTAGAGAAGCTGCCACGCACCCCACTTCTGCTGTGAATTTGGTAGATCCCTACCTATAAGGTACATCAAGCTGGTGATCTAAATACTGGCCATTACCCCTTCCACATGTTTAAATACTGCACATCACAAACAAGATGGTGGTGATGATGATGATTTATATGATTCAAAGAGGAGGAAGGGTGATATGCTGTCAGTAACTGGCAGGGCACTGGAGAGGAATGAAAGACAGCTGATTGCAAAAAAGTTTTGAGGTGGGGGAGATTAGACATGAATGATGAAGTGCAACACAGTAATTTCACCTTGAGGATGGGCAGGAAGGGGTAGATAGCATGACCATTAAAGAGAAAAAAGCCCCATGACTTGAAAACAGAGTAGTTGGAAAGGGAGGAAGAGTTGAAGTTACCAACCACAATACAGGGCTGAGACAGAGAAAAGAGTTTGAAAAAGATTCTGAACTTGTTTTCCAGTAGGTCAAGTTTGAGATGTTGGCAAACCACCCACAATGAAACAGTAAGCCACACAACACTGAACCAGAGGAGAACTCAATGGTTAATTTGAGACTCATTAGAATGAAAGCAGTTAAAAGCAAGTGGATGAAGTTATCTAAGAACAGTGAAAGAGAGACCCACAGAAAATTCCACCAAAGAAGAATGCTTTAGCACATTTTTAGCATGGGAATAGGAAGATTAACATGGAAATTCTTGGAAAATAGTAAAACTGTGCTTGGTGCAATAATGCTATGCAAAGCTCAAGTAGTTGATACAACAACCAATTATAAACCCCATTGCACTTCCTTAGCACAATTCCCCGCTCTGTTACCCTTGCTCAGCACACAATTACTATCAATATCAACCTCTGGCACACATGCCAGAACATGCCACACCACACATAGCAGAACATGGCACACAAGGCCATTTTCCTCGGCCTGCCATAGCCTGGGCTGCTCGCAGCAGGCGGTCAGGAGGCTGCAAGCCCTGCTGCAAGCAGCCCAGGCTCCATGGCAGGCAGCAGCTGCCCAGAGCCTGGGCCAGCTGTGGCAGTCAGCTGGGAGGCTGCAGACAGCTACACTGGGATCCAGAACCCCGGCACACAGCAGGGAAGGGGCTGCAGCAGCATAACCCCAGCCCCACCACCACCGTCTGGCTGGAGGCACACATGCACCCACTGCCAGCAATGAGGATTAGGTCCCTCATGGCTCCCCCACCATCTGGCCCTGGCATGCCAAGTTGAGGCACAGGTTAAGACTCAGATGTTTTCGGCACTCCAGCCAAAAACACTACTGACCCCTGGGCTCGAGAATATTTTTCTGCCTCTGGGCAGGGGGTTTTACTTTCCCAGCTGTGCATGCACCCATGAGGTACATCACACCCACACAGCACCAACATTTCTCCCTGCCTCTCCACAGCACATGCGCTAGAAGGAAATATTTTGTAAATATCATGCTTGTATTAGCCTTTGCAATTATTATTTAATAAATCGAGTCCAAAAATTTAAACATTTTTTCTGTAAATTTTGTGCAGAAATGTCCCTTTTTGGTGGGGGGGAAAAAATTGGAATGCAAGGCCCAGATCTGCCTTTTATCCTTCTTCCAGCACCGTGGGACAACAGCAGCTTTATTTTAAGGGATGGTTTCACCATTATGTTCTTTTAATGTTAAGTTCTCAAATGTTCACAACAAAAGCATAACAGAGGAGAGTGAAAGTCAACACTGGACATCAAAGGGGAGCAAAAACATCCACAAGTCAAGCAGAGCATTCAAAGCCCCTTCAGCTTGGTATAAAGCAGCACTCACCCTTGAATCCAGACTCACACTGGTACTTAAAAAGCCCGCTGGAGGGGGTGGGGGGGAGCAGCAAGAGAAGAATAAATCATAGAAATCATAAAAAATGAGGGTTGGAAAGGACCTCAGGAAGTCAGCTAATCAAGTCCCAGGGCTCCTTCCCTGAACACTCAGGAGTCCTGAGACTCTTGCAGCTACCCAGCCCCCACCATCCCCCTTGAAGGATGTGGTGCAGGGGGCCTCATCCCTAAGGTGACTGTATGCTAAGGGTCAGGCAGGAAGGTTTTATTGAGGACAAGGGCACAGGGATGGTCCACTCTCCCCAATCCACAGCACCTGCCTCCTTTTTGAGCAGGGCGGTGTAGGGGGCAGCATGTGGGACCAGGTAGAGGAGCAACGCTAACAGGTAAGACTGTGGATGAAGGGAAAAGCCCCATCACATAGCCTGTACCCCCTCAGTCTACACTTCCAACCCCTCCCTGCCACGTGGAGCCCACCTACCCGGTGTCAGTCTCATCTCCCACCAGCCCCTCCCAAGTAGACTCCTTATTACAGGGCGCGTTGCCGCTCTCCGAGGAGCGCTGCTCATGCCCTAGGACCTGCCCGTGCTAGGCGCACACTAACACGCGCCCCCCCCCCGCACGCACTTGTATCCTTGCCCCAAAACTCCCCCACGTGACCTGCTCCCTCCCCACCCCACCCCCTGAGACCCCAGTGACATCACTGTGCTCCTAGATGACATCACAAAGGCAGCTCCCCCACTCGGCGCTACTCACACGAGGAGAGCTACGGTGACTGCGAGTGAGTCACAGGCCGGGCAGGCGCCATCTTTGTCGAGGGCAAGCCAGTCAAGCGGGAACCACCTAGGAGGGCGGAGGAGGACGTCTCTGCTAAAGGTGGGAGTGGCGCCGGGGCCGCCATCTTTGTTGTGGGCACGGGCTGCGCGCGCCGAGAAGCGACTGGCCGTCCCCAGGACTAGGTAGTCGGCGTGTAAGCAAGGAGCACGGCCGCGCAGGCTCACACGCTGGCGCAGATGTTCATACGCAGACGCACACTCACAGGCGCAGTCTGGCACTGTCTCACGCGTATTCAGTGACACACACGTTCTCACTTCCCGCCTGCCTGGTCACAGCCCCGCTCCTGAAGGGAGGGCCCCCCCTGTGCTGTTGCAGTCCGTCCCCACCACTGAAATCAACTCTAAGCTCTTCATGGAAGTAAATATATTTTGTGTGTGCCTGCATCCATATGGCAGGCAAGGGTCTTTGGGTCAGTCTGATCTCTTACTAGACCAATTCAAATAGTTGGAAAAAAACTTTGCAAGCTTGCAGGTATAAAGACCCTTCATCTGGCTGAAGAAGCATCTGCGGTTGGTCTGTGCTCTTTCTGGATGCTTCTTCAGCTGGACAAAGGGTATTTATACCCACAGGTTTGCAAAGAAGAATTTTTCCAGCTATTTGAGTTGGTCGAATAAAAGAGATCGGATTGACCCAAAAAACCTTGTCTGTCTGTGTCCTTAGACCAGGGGCGGGCAATTATTTCAGGCAGAGGGCGGCTTACCCAGTTGTGGCAAGCTGTCCAGGGCTGCACTGGTAGTCCTGCCCCTTGACAAGTGCCCCAGCCTCTGGTCACCATCTTGGGACCAATGTCCCCATGTCTTGGGACCAATGTCCCAGGGCCAGCACCGGTGGGGCCCAGAGCAGGGTGCAGGCTGGCAGGAGTCTGCGGAGCTGGGCTGGGCTGCACCAGCAGGGAAAGGGGGGAGCTGGCCTGGCTCCATAAGGCCCCTGCTGGCCGGGACCCCTGTACTCCAGCTGCCCTGCTCTGGGCCTCACTGGCCCTGGGACACCCATGCGGGTCTTGTGCTCCTGCACTCCCAGTGTCTCCCAGCCCCACGGTACAGGTAAGGGCCAGCGCACAGCCCCGATCCCCTGCTCCCCAGCAGGGAAGGAGCTGGTGCGGAGCATAGCGAAAAGCAGCCCCTCACCTGCCCCGGGGCTTGTGTTCCCTGCTACAGCCACTTGCAGCCTGCGTGGGGCTGTCCTGAGCCGCTTCCCCCCCCCATTCTCAGCACCAGCTTGTAACCTGCCCCTGCTGCCAGCCCCGAACCGGCTCCGGGCTTACCTGTTGAGGCTGCACCATGGTGGCAGCAGCTGCGGCCCCCCCGCTTGCCGTGCTGGGCAGCACTTGCTGCTGCTGCCCGCCCGGAGCTCGCACCACAGTAGGCAGCAGTGAGGCTGCCACTGCCACCTCTGTGCTGCCCAGCATGCAAACTCCGGGAGGGGAACAGGAGCAAACACTGCCCGACACAGCAAGCGGGAGGGCCACTTTCTTCTGCTCCGCTCAGCTGCTGCCACTACAGTGCAACCCTGACAGGTGAGCCCACAGCAGGCGCTGGGCTGGGTTATAAGCTGGTGCTGAGTGCGGGGGAAAAACGGCCCCTCACCCACCCCATGGCTGCAATCCTGCAATGCAGCCACTTGCAGCCCATGTGGGGCTGCCTGTGCCTGCTCAGGACAGCCCCACGTGGGCTGCAAGCGGCTGCAGCAGGGAGCATGACAGGCTGTGTTCAACTTTGCCAGCTAAGGGAGTAAGTCCCAAGGTCACATTGTAGAAAGCTATCACAGAGCCAGACCTTATGGGATACAGAGGCTGTGTGAGGACAGGGAATGGGCTAGAAGCCAGTCGGCTGCTGGCAGAGACACTGCCATTAGCATCCAGGCAAACAGCTGGTCAGGAAAATGGAAACCAGCCTGCTGGAGGAGAGCCCTACCAGAAAAGCTTGGCTTAGCCCCCGCCCCCTGGCTAGAGGAAAGTAAATAAGCTTGTCAGGTGCCTGCAAGCCAGGCAAATGGTGTAGCATTTATATTTGGAGAAAATCCAAGTCAAGTCCTGAAAAAGAAGGACGGAAATCCTGCAACTGCTGTGCTTTCCCAGTTGCAGTGTCCAGCGAGCTAGTCCATGCCTGTGAGTTCATAGGGAAGGTAACCACTAGGAAGGTTCTTAAGGACCAGCATTTTGACATACCTGGTAATAGTAACCATGGCTTTCTATAGCACTTGTACTGTCCTGGGTTTTTTTTCTATAGCCTCTTTTATAGGGATGTGCTTAGATTTATAAGCACCTCCCCCCCAGCCCCCGCAATGTAGGCAGCTCTAACTTCCTTCATGTCACAGTTCACCAGGTCAGCCTTCCTAGTAAGTACAGCCAGGCACAGAGCCTGGGGGTTACAGGATTATGGTCAGAAACCAGGAGCCTAGTTACCAAGTCCAAAGGATAACGCACAGGGCAAAATCCAAGAGTAAGTCCAAGCTGGGTTCAGAAATCAAGAAACAGACCTACAGGAAGAATCCAAAGGTCAAAATCCAGAAGCAAGCCAAAGACCAGGTCAGGAACCAGGGAAGCCAGAGATGTTGCTAGAACAAGAGCTTCTCAGAGATTGAAGACCAGTCTGTTGTGCAGCAAAGCTCAAGTGCTAGAGGAGTTCCTTGAATCCAGCTCCAGAGCCAGAGGGAAGGGGCTGGGTATCAGCTGGCCTTGATAAATAGTAACTAAGTCAGTGTGCTGAGGGCAGGAGTTTGTCTGAGCCTTACAAAGCTGATCCAGGCTAGAATGCAGGAGCTTTACACTCCCCAGCTGATTGAATCCATACACTGTTGTATAGCTACTGCCCCTTACTTGTCTGCTGTTTTCCCACCCAGTCTGGAAGTAGCAATATCTTTATCTCCCTCTGACTTCTGAGGCCCCTTCACTATGTCTGGATCAGAAGACAGCGTTCCAAACCATTGATTTCTTCATGGAAGTTGAGTTTGGTGGTCAGGTAGGGAATTCCGGATCTGCTCCTTAGCTGAAGGAAGGCTACAGCTCTGCTAATATATCCTAGAAGTGGATTGTTAAATTGCTTAAACACTTATTTTGTAGCAAGCACCTAGAAAAGCCAACCATGTCCCAGGTACTACATATGGAAAATTACACTTTCTGTCCTGTACCTAGAGGAGGGGGTCTCAACTTTTCGGATTCAAGACCAAGATTCCCCCTGAGGTGCACGCGTGCATGGTCGTGCACAAGTAAAAGGCTGGCTGCTCACAAACTTTTTTAGGCTGCGCACCAACCGGGATTGGAGCTGGGCTGCGGTGTAGGACACAGAATGTAAGCTCCTCCCCAAGGCGCAGGCGGGAGTTTGTCGCTGGCTCCAGGGAAGAGCTCCGTTCCCCCGCTTTGCCTTGGGGAGCAAGGAGGCACATGGCGTCAGGCCAGGGAATGGAGCAGTTCCCCAGAGCTGGCAAAGCCTGCACCAGCCCCAGCCTCCATCCCTGCTTTGCCTCACCTCAAGGAGGAGCCTAGCCCAAGTGAGGCTCCGCCTGCTCCAGGGAACTGCTCCACTCCCCAGCCCTGATGCCACATGCCTCCTTGCGCCCCAAGGCAATGTGGGGGAGTGGAGCCCATGCCAGGCCCCAGCCCCTGGCCCTAGCTCCCAGACCATAGGCCCTCTGCCCCTAGCCCCAGGTCCCCCCAGGCCCCAGACCCTGCTACCTGCCCTGGGTGAGGAGTGAGGAGCTTACCTTTAGTAAGTGTCCCACATCAAACCGAAGCGATGCACACACAGACCGCAACTCCTTAAAGGGAACAAAGACAGCCCCCTTTGGATTTGAGATGCCCCTCACTGGACTTGAGGCACTCCTCCATAACTTTTCTGAAGTGAGTGGCACCTGATTTTCAAAAACTAATTTATATATTACAGGGCTTACCTCCTTGCAGAGAGGCTGAGCAGTGTGGGCAGGGGATCAGCTAGGCAGGGACAAGCCTGAGCCTGCATTTATCTGCTTATCCCCTCACACCTCCTAGCACCCTGGTTGAAAAATCACTGGCTAATATGTCAAATCACATGGAGGAAAGAGACAGAAGCAAACAGGCAGAGAAAATACAGTAAAAACATAAATGTAGTATGCAATTCTTGGCCAGTTAGATGCAGAAATCATAACTGGATCTTACCCTGCATCTCTGCCACAGCTCTCCTGGCACTGAAATCAGAGAGCAGGAAGGGAAAGAGGGATAGGGAGTGTAAGAGTGTCATCTGTAAATAGGTTATGCAGACTTAAAGATTCGGCTGCTCAAACTGGTCAGGTTCACTGTTTTCTTGGAAGTCACAGCAGTCACAATAATGAAAGTCTAGATTAGGATTTCCTGCTTCTCTTCAGTTTCTACAGAAACATGGTCCTCTTGCTCTTTCAGTAAGGCAGCATGTCTCTTGAATCTTGCCATGTCATTGTGAACTACAAACCTGTTACCTTTGCTTCTCGGACTGGCTGTATCATCAGCCAAAGAGGGAAAAATGATCTTAGAGTACTTTGGTCAACTGCTGTAAAAATATAGGTTCTTACTCTGCCTCTCCTTTATCATTGACCAGTGTGCTAGAACTGCTTCAGAATTTATGTTTAAGGTTGGCTAAAGTGGGAGGCACATGTAAGCTGGGAAATGCAAAATTGAGGCTTACACCTGATTATTTAGCTAAGGTGACTGAGAAGGAAGCATAACATTCAGAGTCAAATAGGCGGTATAGAAATAACAAAGAAGGATGCATTGCATTTAAAACCTTGTCAAGACTATGCCACCTGCGCAGTTGGTCCAGTTAACGATATCACCCATGTAAATCCTAAATTCTCTGCTGTCACTGATCAGCGTAAGAGCTAATACTGTGAACTGGATCTTCAGAATGTTGAAGGTAAAGGGCCAGAATCTGAACTGGTGTCAATTGGTGCAGCTCTGTTGAAGCTAATGGAGCTCTGCTGATTTGCCCCAGCACAAGACTTCATTCATGATCTGAATGTCCACCACTTCCACAAATACCTGGATCTGCTGGCTCCATCATACAATTCCATTTCTTTTCAGCTGTTAACATCTGCAAATTC